TGCCCCCGCAGTAGACCGACTTCTAACCAACACCAGCAGCAGCTCCAGCGGCTCCATCAGCTCTTGGCAGGACGAGGCAGTGCGGGGAATCCAAATTGTTGCCACTCTGCTCATCTTCCTGGTGAGAATCATCTATGGCTCCAGAATGTGCCAAAATATTGGCATAACTGTTGAGATCATCTGTTGGTTATGAGTAGGGATGCGTGATAATATCAGTGCGTCAACGGTATTGGCCAATATCAGCTTTAAAACAAACTATCAGAATCGGCCAACATGCTTTTTCTTATTTTGTAGAATGAATTAAAATTACATACACTGAAAAGCATAGTATTTCATGTCTCCATCTGCTGGTGGGCCATCACGATAAGTGTATGCATGCATAATATGATGTTAATTCCACTACAGAAGAGACTTGAGGATCACTAAAATTAGGTGGGGGAAGAAGTGGATATATCGATATCGGCCAATTGAGTTGTTACATATCGGCATACGGGACATTGGCAGAAAATCCAATATGGTGTTTCCCTAGTTACGAGGTTTGGGGGCCTTAAACATAACCCTGTTCAGACCCACTGAATGGCTCTGTCAGCTTGAAATTGTGTAAATCTTTGTATGCGTTTGCTCTTAAAATATTTGAATGAAAATAGCTCAACACTTTGGGAAATACTTTTATTTGCTCTTTCTGTTGAGAGTTGGATCTGTACCACTATCATCAGTAAATATGAAACTAGAGCTAGGGGAAACAGCTAGCTTCAACATGTTTGAGGCCAAGGACCCTTTTGCTCAAAGAGAGGTTGAACAGGGACCCCCTATTACTTAGTATAAAGCTACGGGTCTTCTGTTGTTTGCACTTGCCTGCTAGCTGCTTAGTTAGCAGCAGTTGTAGCATGGCTAGGTGCATTAGCTTCACTCTCGGCACTTTCGTTGGGGGTTTCTGAGGTGGACAGTGTGTCAGAGTCTTGAAAAGTGCGCTTAAAATAATAATACAGCTAACTGGCTGATATGTGTCAGTAGTATGTTACTGTTAGCTAACTAGTCGACCTCAGTTTATGGACAGTTGCCACACAGTGATTACACGTTAGCTAGCTCACATGATTGCATAAGAAGTTAGCAATAGCAGTTAGCCTATCATCAATGTTGTGTACTGTGAATGTTTTTTTTATGAATAGGCTGATTTATTTCTACTAATATGTTGGATTCTTGTTGATGCATGTTTTAAACATATTCTAAATTCTGGGGGGGGGGGGGGGGGGGAGATTAAACTCTGAGCGTCCCCTAGGCGTCGCGGACACCATGTTGAAGACCCAGGCCCCAAAGCTCACTAATTAAGACGTCATACCTTTTTTACAAAAACATGAAGTGTAAAAAAACAAGAGGTTATCTTTTTTACCGGGGGTTATGTTTGAGACTATTTCTTGGCCAGGAGCAGTGATTTCCTGGTCTTTCCAAGAAACAGTCTGACATATAACTTCTTCAAGTAAATATGTCACTTTACATTTTGGTTTTGTACTGAGATATATCATGGTAATTAGTGATCTTTAGAGGAGCTGGGAGGCAGACATTTTTACCTCTGGACAGAGCTAACAGTTTCCTTGATTATTCTTTTTCTTCATGTTTAGCTAAGCTAAGCTAAGTGTTCTCATTCAACTTTCTGCAGCAAAGCAAATCAGGGCTTTTCTTCAAATGTCAAGCTATTATTTTTAAAGTATGTCATCCTGAATGTAATTGGTTCTCTTGGTTTCTTAAGGTGGGCATGTCTCTCAACGGGCTGGTGGTTTGGGCACTGGGAATGCGGGGAAATCGTCACCTGGTGCGCCGGGGCAGTAATGAGGAGACGCGTGCTGCCAACAGTTTCCGCATTTATGTCCTGCACCTGGCCGTGGCTGACCTAGTGCTGATCCTGCGTACCCCGCTCATGTTGGGCTACATTGCTTATAACTACAGCTGGCCATTTGGCCTTCACTTCTGCCGCCTGGTCATGTTCCTGCGAGGCATGGGGTTATACGCCTCCGCTTTCCTCCTCTGTGCTGTGGCCCTGGAGCGATGCCTGTGTCTGCTGAAGCCCGTGTGGGCTCGACTGCGACGCCCCTACTGGGCTGTTCCTTTAGCCTGTGGCATCTTATGGCTGGTGGCCTTCATCTTGTCTACCCCCTACCTCAACAGTGCCTTCCTGATGGAAAAAAACGGGACATACCATTGTGTGGAGAGTGGGGTGTTTGACATGGCACTGTTTGTCACAGAAACAACAGCAGGTTTCATCTTGCCTCTGCTGGTGTTCTTGGGAAGTAACCTGGCTGTATTACTCACTATTCACCAAGCAGTGCCCTTAACACCCACCACCTCCACCCCCTCAACTGCCCGCAGGATGACCCGGATGTACCACGTGCTATTTTTCACCATGCTCCTCTTCCTTACCTGCTGGGTGCCATATTTTGTTTGTCGGTTTGTGCGGGCCTTGGCTGATGGACGACCTGACCGGATCATGTTGTATAAAAGAGCACTGAAAGGCACATACATATCTCTGTTTCTGGTGTACATCAAGTGTGCTCTGAACCCGGTGCTGTATGTGTTTGCTGCCCGAGGATTAGGCCGTGCTATCAAAGCTTCACTTGTCTCCACTATTGAAAGACTTTTCAATGAAGACTCCATGGAGTCCATACGAAGGAAGTCACTCAAGAACTCACTTAAAAACTCACAGATGTAGCAAGAGGTCAACAATGCTTTGGTGTTTTTACATTTTGATTAGTTTTATGTTGAAGTCATTATGCCTTTGATTTTTGAAAAGAGAGGAGTGTCTTAAATTTCACTTTTAGCTGGTTGGTTACATTTTTGTGCAATGTGCTCATACCCATACTCAAAATGTGAACTGTGTAAATCAAACCAAAAGGTATGCATGCTTTAGGTGTTTTACAAAAGGATCTGAAAGCCACAGCAAATGGAGAAACCAGTAGGTGTCATTATAAGTGTACTTTCTGTATATAGAGATATAATGTTGACAGATCTTAGTTGGATCGCAGTTTGATGACAATCACTGCTTTCAATTCCCTTTGAAACAAACTCTTTCTGACAGGAGAATTCCTTTGACACGGGATCTTAGGTATGAAAAAGACTGATTTAAAGTCTTGGATCAGTGGTGTCTGAAACTGATTTCAGCATTTCAGAGAAAGACAAGTGAAAATTACCACACAGCAGTGAAGTGCAAAACGAGGAAAACATCTCTCATCAAGCATAGCACCAGGCCAGGTTTCCCTACTGTCGGCAAAATACACGAAGATATATGGACGTCAGTAAAAGTACATGACTGCAGGCTTCAGAAATGCTGCTTCTGTTGCAGCATGCTGAAGGCAGGGTCATAATTTGGCATAAAAATGAATTCATGAATCATCTTGTCTGTTAGTCAATGGGCAGGGAACACCTTGATGGTAAACAAGCCAAAGTGAACACAGCATTATCTCATTGCCAGCTTCCTGGCCCCAGGGTAACCTTTGTCATATGGATTCCTCCGAGATAACGCACCCTTAAGCATGTACTGTCATAGTGTGGTCCAAGGAATATGATACTGAATTTATCTTATCACTATCAACAGTGACTCAGACCTATCAATCTGATGAAATCTGGTCAAGAACAGTTCCTTGTCCATACATCTGGTAGTAGTTGTACCAAATAAACCGATGAATGTATGTACTTCTTTAGGCTCTTTAGGCTTAGAGGAATGAAGCACACATGTAGCTTTATTACTTGTCTATATAAGCACACCTATTCTGTTATTGACAAATGGGAAAAAACTGTACATAATAGTAGCACTTTACATGTATTCTTTCTGCATTAAAACATGAATAAACAAAAGCTTTAAATGCCATCTGATTACAGGGTGGGTCCATTTTTTTTTGAGGTTTTTCTATCATTCCAGTAGCGTATGTTCTGTATTCAAATCCAAACATTCAAATTTTGGTCTAAGTACATATGTTTAAGCATCAAAATTAAATTTTCCCAAGCCCTTCTAAAAATATTCCCACATAACCTGATGTAGGTTTCTGCACAATGACGCTACCACGTATTCATTTCCCTGTCTGTCTAATGTGCCTCTTTGTAACTGACCCAAGCCTTCTTTGAGAATTGTGTGTTATGGGCTTAGCAGTATACTGCTGTGGACACCACATTATTCCAGTTTCAATCACACAACAACACAAACTAACCGATTGAAGCAGCAGTAGACCAGCAACTCCTGTGTCCTGCGATGTTAAATACTGGTATTGTTAAAGGAACCTGCTGGCTTTTAAGAGAGCGATGCAACGGCTTCATTTCCCAGTCGCAAAGGGCTGTTTGGCTGCAAGGCAAAGCAGTGGAAATATAACACTGTATACAGATAAGTACCTCACACAAGCCCACTTAAAAAAATTCAAACTACCCCTTTCACTTATTATTATTAGCGGCAAACGCTGCTGTAGCCTTCATTTCTGCTTTTTGCTAGCAGCTGAGTGGATGTTTCCATTTATAAAACACAGAAAAGAACAAAATGAGTTTCCTCAGTTGAGTGTCTGGGCTCAGCCTTGGAGATAGGGTGAGGAGCTCGGACATCCGGAGGGAGCTCGGAGTAGAGCAACTGCTCCTTCACGTCGAAAGGGATCAGTTGAGGTGGTTTCAGGCATCTGATCTGGGTCCTCCTGGGCACCTCCCATTAGAGGTGTTCTGGGCACGTCCCACTGGTAGGAGGCCCCGGGCAGACCCAGAACACACTGGAGGGATTACATATCTCATCTGGCCTGGGAACGCCTTAGGGTCCCCCAGCTGGTCTGCTGCTGCCTCAATCAGTTAGTTAGGAACACCTTAGGGTCCCCCAGGAGGAGCTGGAAAGCGTTGCTGGGGGACCGGGCCCCGGCTAAGAGGATGAAAATGGATGGACGGAGAAAAGAACGCAGATGGACCAGCCCCTTATTTATATCTGATATACAATCAGCCCATACTTACATGCACTCGTGTCTTCAAGGAAATGATTTCAATTATGAACAACTGCTTGGTTTTTATTTGTAAGTACAGTATTACAAGTGAAGCATTAACTTACTGAATGAGTTTGTGTTTTGGTATTTAGGCTCAAACGATAACAGAGAAGTTGGATATCTGAACTCTCCATCTCACTGCCAAATGCAACTACAGAGCACCAGTAAATTTAATTATAGTTTTCGTATGAAACTGAATACTGTAATAAACTGAAGGCAGGAGATAAGAGTTGACTGACCAAGGCACATAACCACAACGTCCATAAATAAGTCCATTCTGGCTGCAGTGCAGACCTTTGTTGCATGTTATACCTCTTACTCTCTACCTTTCCTTTCCTATCTGTATCTATACTATCAGCTTTGGAATAAAGATGAAATGCCAACAAAAAAATTCTGTCTTATCTCTGTATATGATGGTTTAAACTTTTCTTTTAATAACTGCTGCTTAAACTGCTGCCTGCCCCAGTGTCTTTCCTTTTTTAGTGCTGCTACAGGTGCCGCAAAAGTTTGAAATTTATTAATTCTACACATAACGGCTGCAATTTTTTTTTTGTTTAGGGTTGAGTTAGTACAGGCATCTCTTAATGTCCTTTGAAAAGAAGATTTCAAACTTGTGAAAGCAGAGATGGTGCACCACTGTTCACAGTGAAGCCGGGGTTGAAAAGCTGATCGGCAAGATTTTGTGCCTGCAGAAGCAGCGCCTGGGCGTTGTGGTTGATCTCTGATTTCTGCAGGATTTCCCCCAGTTTCAAGGCAGTGGTCTCAGAGTCGCTGTCTGGTATAATTTTTATCAATCGAGCCTAAGGAGAACAAAAGTATTAAGCACTGCTGTGTCATTTTGTGTTTCTGGTAAATATAGAGTATTATGACAGTGTTGTGGAAAATGTTCAAAGCCTTATTTTGTAGTTGATGAAAAAAACAGAGACAATATAGAACCCCAGATGTCATGTCATCTCTGTGCCTTTCATAAGACAGATTTCATACATTTTTCACAATATTACAAAGAAGTTGCACAACAGAGGGAACATGCTTAGACTTTCCTGTTTCACTGTAGAGGAAGTGCCCACTCAGACAATTCGACCACAACTTATTCACAAAAAAATATGAATGCTTGTGGAATTGTGCAACACATACAATTCAAACTGATACTACAATTTGTGAAAGTGTGTTTTGTGCACCACCCATGCTCACCTCTAATGTTGTTTCATCTTTACGTGGAGGTAGAGGGGGAAGGTTGAGACTTGCTTGTTCGGCTATCTGTAAGATCTGCGTGTGAAAACACACAGGAAGAACAAAACTGCTTGAGTACAGTTGTATATCCTCTTTATCTAACAGATAATTAAATGAAAACCACGAGACTGCTTGAAATCTGCTTTGATATAGTTCAAGTATATCATGCAAGCCAATTCCTGTAGTTACTGCTCAGATGTTTTCTCAAGAATTAACCCATTACATCAGATTCCACAAACATTTCAACATGCTGTTCAACTGAATCAACAAGAAATGCACAGACTAACTTAGTCTAGACAAGCAGGCTGATATTTGTGTGTTAAAATGCACTACCACAATTCTGTTGTCTGTGGTAACAGCCAAAGACATTTTGTAGATTTTCTTTTTAAATCTGCATGTTGGCACGTGTGAGTGTTTTGCACCTCTTTAGCTTTCTCCTCCTCCTCCTCCACTTGGTCTCTCAGCGTACTGCAAGCGTGCTGTAAGGAGACAGCCTGCTCGTCTGTCCTCTCCAGAGCACGGACCACAGCCCTCAAGTCTTTCTGGAAATGCAGACACCACAACAAGACGTCATATAACACGATTACTAATGCCATTTGCTTAACTCCATTGCAGATATATAAATACTGATTTACACACTGGTGGGGCAGTTAAGTGTGACAGTTGTGCATTTTGTGATAAAAGCAACACATCTGGCACAGATGTAGGTTTATATGTTAGAAGAGATACAAATATCGAGGCACTGCATATTTGGACTCAAAGGGCCTTGGCAGCCATTTTTTATTTGTGTCTGTATGTGATCAGATCAGATTAGAACAGAAGACCACAGACATGTTTATTTCCTCTTCACTTTTTAAGGGTGCTTTTTCGAAGCTTTTAACCTGAGAAAAAATGTGAAAACCAACTAAAAGGAGCACGCATGCCCCCGTGCCTTAGTACCACAATGACAATCAATACACTTATAGAACGGCAACATGTCCAGCTGTACATCATTGGATTTGTCTTTCCAATAGCAGTACCATTGACAGAGACATTGCTGGATAAATTTCAGGATTGTCAGTAACCTCTCATCACAGGTTGCATGAGAACTTTTCAGTGTGGGTGAGTGTTTCAGGGTCGTATAAAGAAAAAAATGCCCGACGTCAGCACATTGTTTACATGTTTTCACATTGACACAGAGCTGTGCAAGCAAGTGATGACACTTTGCATTTGCATGCAACAAGCTCATAGCAGGCTTTCGATGCCCCTACGAGAGTTGTCCAGTGAGTTTCACACACACCCTCATCTGATCTAACCCCAGCTGGTTATTAAGGGTAATGCAGGTGGAAAAAAAAACATGCCTGTGATCTTCTGACACCTCATCTAATCTGCTTAACACATCTTGGCAATGAACAAATCAACCAAACCGTTTTCTTCATCATTCAGGCATATTTAGTGGCTATTTGGTGGCCACTCTGAAAATAGCTGTTACTATGCTAGGGCTTCATTTGCAATGACCTGATATCTAAATTGTTTTCAAAACATGTCAACATATATCTAGGCCAGATGTGTTGGGTTTATCACAAAAGCACAGCACAGAATTTTTTACCCTCGCTGCCTCACTACACATACATTATGCCTTTTCAAGGTTGTTGTAGCTGTAATCTCTTATTGGATCATTGTGCTGTTTATTGCATTTAGGTTTGCAGCCGAAAACTAAGTTCATTATTACGTCAGCTGTTAATTCCTTTATTTTTGTCATATTATCAATTTATTATTTTGTCTATAAAATGCTACAACATAGTGAAAACATGTTTCACTGTTGTTATTTACAAATTACATACACACAAGCTTATAATATACACACATGCACAAGCAGGACCTGTACTCATGTGGTAAATAGAGATCTCAGAGCTGCCCATGGACAGATCCCCCGAGCATTTGCGGGTGGCCTTAGCAGTGCTCCAGACGTGACCTCTCCAGCTACCAGTCCACACCCCATACTTGGTCCGTAGTGTGACTTGAACCAGTAACCCTCCGGTTCCCCAGCCAAGTCCCTATGGCCCGAGCTCCCACCCTATATAACTGTGTTTTCACAATATCACACTGAGAGTATCACAGTCCAGCTGCCGCCCCTCTCAGACTACAGTGTTTCTCACCTCCAGAGTGCTCAGATTCGTCTTTCCAACCACTGACTTCTTGGCCTCCTCCTGGTGACGCTGAGATGATTGCTCGAAATCTTTCTGTTTCTGCACTGGAACTTTGAGCTCTGCACACTGAGCAAGGAACCTAAAAATGTTTGGAAAACACATCAGAAAAAAAATTAACAAAGTGCATCTAAGACATTATCCTTTACAGTCAATGTTATTTTCTGTTCAGAACTTTGAAATAATGATGTTTGAATCAATATTACTAGATCAGACTGATTGTTGGGGTTGATGTTCGTTCATCAGCTTTAACTGGAATCCTATCATGATGGTATAATTACACACCAAGGCATCTTTTTACTTACTATTCACTTATTCATTAAATATGTAACTGCAGGGTAAGTAAATATGTAACCATAAGACAACAGGCCCATGCCATTTAGTAACATCTTAATTTCTGACCCATCTTGCTCACCTGGTTTTCATTAGGTTCAGATGTTCCTGGCTCTCTTTCTTCTCTTTCCGCATCAAAGCAAGAGTTGCTCTGGGGAAACAGAAAGTGTCCCCACAAAGTTGATTTTGACCACTATTCATCTGCAGTAATTGAAGTGCCTCCTAGTTTTGTCACGGGAAAATATGCTGGCTGATTTTAACGATACATCAACTTGTCAGCATTCTCTAATGAGTAAACTATGTAAAGACATTTTTTTGCAAATACCTCAAAACTACTTGACATTTCTGTACTGTAAACTATTTTTACCTATCATTCCACATATACACCAATAACGAAATATCTGCAATGAGCTAGCCGGTTCATCGATCTAGCTCTAGTTTCAATACATAGCAAAAAGGTACACCTAGGGTTGGGTTACATGGAGGAAAACAAATATCACAACACTTTTGACCAGATATCAATGTTGCAAATATATTGTAGAGTATATTTAAAAATAATAACAGTAATGTGGATGTAACGACTAAGGCAAAATGTATACTTTTGCATTGAATTGACGCCGTAGCTATGTCTACAGCTGCTATGACATTTTAATTTCCCTTCGAAGATAAATAAAGTTATCTATCTATCTATCTATTTGTGGGGAAAATGTTCCCAGATAAAGACAAGGGTTTGTCTTTGAATGCTGCGAGTTATAGTGAAGACGATTTGTGCACTTGCGTTTGAAATTGTCTCCATTAAGCCATACTTAATGTGTGTTTTGAATCAACTAAACTTTACAGCTCTTCACAGAAACTCTGCTGCCGAACAGTGTTCTGGAGGTGACAGGTATAACTGCAGAGAGTATAAATGCTCACAATGGCATAGGCCACGAGCATAGAGTCTGCCGCACGAGTATAAATCCCGCTTAAGTAGGTAAAGGCAAATGATAATACAGCAGTTTGGTAAGTTCAGAAAAATACATCACTTTAAGGTAATGCAGCCTTTAAAAACCGGAAAATACAACTTTCAATATTACAATAACAAAAATCTAAGATGATATCGAGTATCATATCAGGATATCAGTATAATGTTGATATATAGCCCAGCTCTGGGTACACCTATACAATCTAATCTGTAATCCAGTATAACATCTCTGCCACATATGCTACTTTCTGAAGTTTATAATGGCAGGAGTTGTCAATTCAACTACATGTTTATTACTGAGATTGTAGTTAATGCTGGTGTGACACTGTACTGCATTATTATTTAAATGTATTTCTAATATTTTACACTGTCATGTTTGAAAATGGGGTGGGCAAAACATGACAAACACCCCTCTATATACTGCCAGCTACAATTTCAGTAATAAATGTGCACTCAGTTATACTTAACCTCTCTGGCTGTGTCAATCAGAAAGTGTACATTAACACAATGAAACTCACAGTATTGACAAGTCCATCGTGTTCTCCAGAGCAACGATGGAGGATCGTGGCATCAGCTCCCACTTGTCCTGACCTTTGACCTTAATAGGGACTGAAGATGAGCCTACAACGTTTTCAGGACACAAACAGGGGCAAGACATGAAAACAAAGTAACAACAGGGCTGGTTTGCTTTGTGGTCCAACTCTAACAGTATGCAGTGTTATTGTTGCTGCATGATTTAACATTCATACACCCGAAGAAGACAATGTGGTAACGGAGCTGTTCTTACCTTTCCTCTTCTTTGCTGGTTTTGTGTGGGTGCTCTTGGTCTCGTGGTTATTTTCACTGGGCCCCGGCTCCTATAGAAACATTATTAAGCATCGTTAGGACACAAGATAACAGGAGATGGAGCAACGCAGACATGGAGTCAGTAGTAGTGTCTAGTTACATTATCTTACCTGATGCTCTGTTGCTTGTTTGTCCGTCCTCTGCTCTCTTTTTTTCTTGGTTTTCAATTTAACATTAGGTGTTTTAGATGCGGCTCGGTTAGAGCCTCTTACGGGCTTCATAACGGCTAACGTTAGCAAGCTAAGCTAACGATAACGGGTAAATAAAAAGCAAATGTAACGTTAATGTTACAGTATCTCAATATTTTAACTTCCGGCTAAGCTAATGTCAGTTAAATAAGTCACACTCGTGAAGTAACAGTAAACAGAAATATCCTTGTTGTGCGAATTAAGACGTAAATCACGTTATATAGCGTTAAGACACAAATGTCGTACACATGAAAATAAAATCCTAACCGCTTCAGACAAAGTTTTGTCAACAGTGAAGCTTCTTTTCGCGCTGCCGTGTTCGAAGCCGAGAGCACAACACGCATGCGTGAAACATACAGTATTTACCCGGGGTACCGCCTGACAGGCAGCTTCTCCTCTAAGGCTAAAGTTACATTAACAGCGCCAGACGCAATATAGCGAAGCTTCGTGTACAAAATTCAAATTAAACGTATTAATTGATTACCGTTTTACCAGACACAGCAGTCTCCCTTGAGGTATTGAACAAATATCGGCATGATACACAAAAACGCTGCCTGTGAGGTCCACTCCAGGGCAAAAATAACCCCTAACTTCGGTGGCTTGAAACCATTTTGGGAACGTGATTGTGACTTCTTTAAAAACATATTTATTTTCTAACAGATTAATGTTTTTTATCAGCCTTTCTGGAAACGGTTGTTGTACTATAGTTCCTCAGACAGCACCTTTATGTAGAGGTGCTGTCAACAGCTAATGGTAAATGACATTTTTTAATTTTACAGGTATTTTACAGCCGTTTGCTCTCCTGTCGTATGTTTACAGCAACATTTGTGGTACTTTGAATTATTTCTTTAGTACTTTGCCCTCTCCCTGTTTCCTCTTAATGTTTATCTTTGCACCAAAAAAAGAATAACACACACATACTTGCAGATACAAAGAGTATTGTGGGTTTTCAGTAGTTTAACAGCATGACTTTGTTTCCTCGTTATCTGTTTTTTAAACTGTTTTCCTCAACAGTTTTCTTACATTGTAAAAAAGGTGACAAAGGTATACATTATCAAACTGGGAGACTTTCCAGTACATTATTTTTAGTTGGTTTGGAGACCAGGCAGTCTTCAAGGGATCTATTACCTTGTCAATACCAAAAATTGTGGCCGTGACTGTCGTACACATGGGATCCAGTTTGACCATAACTTCGTAAATCTTTGGTAAACACTTGTGCAAACAACTATTTTAAGTTTTTGATTTGTTCTCAGTTTAGTGAAATCTGTAGAAATTTGTTTTCTGATATACAGACCTTCAAATTCAATACTGTCAAAATACACGAGCCCACATGCGAAACTGAAATACACAATCTAGTTTATTCGTTTTTTTTAAGCAGCAAAACAACAAACTGTCCAATACAGTGATGCGTTTGTGTAAAAAAACAAAAATGAAACAAGACTCCCAAATGTGACTGAATATTTTGGTTGCCTCTTCAATGGTGTGGTCTGGATGACACTCTATCAGTCTGTCCCTAAGGTCCATCACACCCTCCACTTGTTGTGAAATTTGCCGCTGAAGCGTCCGTGGTTGTGAAGCTCGAGGGGGCTGAGCACCTTCCTGATACCCAGCATGTTTCCTTGCACTATCTCCTTAAAGGTCCAGGGATTCTGGTTGTTTTGCTCCCTTTCACGCTGCTTCTGTTTCATGGCTGCCAGGCTCTCCCTGGTCACCACCTATAGAGAGAAGCACAATGTGAAGAATGGCTGGGTTATACTGAGGTATTTAAAGATGTTCAGCTGTAAAGTTCAAGTCTCCCTCTATTAAAAATGTGTTTTGCTTATTGTTACTTCATGTGGAACCTCAGTGCACATTTCCTGAGATCTATGGGACATATTTATTAGTGGTGCGTTACAACCACCAGAAGTACACAGTGTAGTGTATTGAGAGGGGATCCCTATTAACTGTTACACTGCCGAACGGCATGTTGGGTACAGCTCATTCTCCGTCACTCGCTGCAGTACATTCAAGAAGAGTGAAGACAGAGCGACTGGAGATGTCACACTGAAGCAAACTTTACCATTTAAAGCATCAGCAGTGTAACTTTCTAAATGAATGCTTTTGTTCCAGGAAATAGCCTGGCTTTGATATTGAGGCCATTAAATGTTTGTGGTAGCTTTTGCAGCCAAATGATGTGTATATTCTATCATTGCAAGGAGACGAAACTATGCCATGGCTGGTGTATTGCTCAGAACACAAGGAGGCCAAGCAATCGGCCCGTTCCAAACAGGCCAGTTTTGAATGGGCACTACAGTCGTATTAGTGAATTCTTGATTTGAGGTAGAAGGAGTAGATGAAGGAGCAAATGTTGAGAGAGGCGTTTCCTTTATTTAGCCTAACCTCACTAACTATGTTTACATGTGCAAAATATTCCAGTTTTTGACCTTATTCAGACAAAGACAACATTCCTGCTAAGCTGTTTACATGGCTACTGTATAAATGACCTGCCTACATAAATGACCTGCCTATTTGCACTGTTGTATCGTATATATTGTAAAATTCTATGTTTTTAATGTTGTATTGTGTTATGTTATGTGTCTGTATATGTCCTTGCTGTGTTTGAGAGAAGCCATACTCTGATTAACACGCCCTGATTATCATGTCAAACTATGGAAAAGTGGAACAGCTGGAGCAGCTTGTGCCGTTTTGTTTGTTTGCATCAAAACAGGATTTTTTTGTGTTTAGTGTTCCAATGGTTGCAGACTTGCCCGATAATGCGAACACAGCCTCCCTCTTTTTTATTCCCTGAAAAAGTCTGTGTGGTGATATCTGCACATGTCCAAAAACCTGTTACATCCAAGTCTTTCATGATGTATTAAACTGCTGGACAGTTGGTTTGTGTACAGAGCATTCATGACAACAAGGCACAGAGCTGATCGTAAATGAACAAGAAGCTGTGTGTTGCAAACTGTGGTAAAAAAAAAAAAAAATGATGGAGATGCATTATTCAAAATGCATTGTATACATGTCCAAAGAATGCTCCTAAAGCCTGAATAATGTCGGCATATCCCAAATATCTTAATCAGAAAAAGGCATAGTTCAGAATATCCAAACAGAATATGCTGTTTATATGACTCCTGTCAAATTCAGAACATTGTCATATTTGGAATAATAGTAGAATGTTATTGTGCATGTAAACATAATCATTGATATGAATGGAGTGGACAAAATAAAAGAAATACCCGTTGGTATCATGCGATATAATTTAACAGCAACATGACCAGAGAGTTGAATCAACACCTCTCTAAAACAGTAGCTGCGTCTCAATTCAGGGGCTGCAGCCTTTGAAGGAAGTGAACTTTGCGGTTGACGTCGGCCACGTCCTTTGAAGATCACATCAGCCAAACCAAACGGCCTTCAAAAGGGGGCGGTCTGGTTTGCGGTGAATTTCCTGGTTGCATCACCAGTTGTGACCCATTGGCTTTCCTGTTACCTAGCAACCAGCTGCTCTTGATGAAAGAAGGAGTAAGCTAGTAAGTTAGTTAGCCCTAAATCATGGACCCAGAGACTGTCATTATATTTTTTTTATTTATTTAATATTTAAGGAGACCCTACTGTCTGATATATTTCAGGCTGATGGGACTGTTTTCAGATAAACTTAATAAATTAAGATTGTTTAAGCTGTGCGCTTTTAATGTTAATGACAGTTAACTAATAGGGATGGGTCACGATTTTCGAATTTCGAATAGTCGTTTTATTTTTGAAAAAACGATTTTTTAATGCAACTATTACTATTCGCCGTCTTATTTCCCCCCTTTATTTGACATGCAATTCAGCTCCTAACCGCACTAGGGCAGTATAGGATTGCTACAGCAGTGTGAGATGGGCTACCAGCTAGTTTGATGCTCTTCTACAAACAGGAGAAACATGCAGAGACTACTACTCCGCGAGGAATGTCCGCAGTCATTCGGGCTTTCATAGTCAAGCGCACTTCCACGTTGTAGTTTCCTGTAAAAATGTCAGTGAAAAATCCCCACGATGTGAAAAATACATGCCGAGCAGTCACCGGTGTGCGGAGCGGTCATAAAATCTGAGCTTTGCACGCACAGGGCTTGCAGACGTCCGCTTTGAGTCCATGCGGACCTCCGCGGAGTCTGTTCCGTGTACGTTCCGCCCGAGTATGTTCGGGCCTTTAAAGATGAATGGATCTCTGTGTGCGTGGCTCCGGGAGGGGGGCGCAGGAGGGGGCAATTATTCGAAAAATTGTCAAATAGTTGCCATGATTTTCGAATAGTGTTTTTGCCTGTGCTGCCCATCCCTATTAACCAACTAGTTAACAAATGTTCGTTACCTTAACTTAATATATAATCATCACCAGCGTGCAATGCATCTTGGGATAGGCTGGGCCACGAAGGATTCATCCATTCATTCCTCCAAATTCTGGGAAAGAAGGCTGCATTTCTTGGCCGCATTTAAAGGAGCTTTTGAAATGGGACAGCCTTGGTCACGCCGATGTGATGCAATCGGTCTTCAACTGTAGCCTTTGAAGGCTGCAGTCCCTGAATTGAGACTCAGCTAGTTTTAACAGGAACTGAACATTTTAGCCTTCATGAAGGCTTTACTGCAGGACTGTTGTATTAGACTGCATTAGGTTTTTTGCATTGGGCGAACATATTAAACTGGCACTGCTCAAGCTGAATTAACTGAATTAAAGAACAGTATATACATTATCTGTCATCTCACCTTGGCACGGAAGGGTAGCTTCTTTGCCACCTCAGTCAGGATGTGCTCAACCTCCCCCAGCTCCACTTTTCCTCCCACCTCCACAATAAGACGACCGTAACGGACAGGTGTCACATAGTGGTCGATGGCACCCTTGCCCCCACCCATGCGCTGACCCAGACCTTTACGTGTGATGGGCTTATAAGGGGCACGGATGCGCCAGCGGGCGAATGTAGTCTGGGAATCCATCTTGCGGTTGATGGTGAGACGCATCATCTCCATGTGACCCCAGTGAAGGTAGCCCCCTCCCAAGGCCTGCTCATCAAAGAGGGAGAGACAGAGAAAGAGGGACGTCACTTTAAAAAGTCACACTCTTGCTAACCACTTTCTGTTTTGTTTTTACTTGGAAACAAGAATTAAGTTAGGGGGTGTGTGTGGGAGGGAAAGCTATGTTGTTCTATAAAGTTGTCGATTTCCCAAAGTGCTATTGTTCTTGATGGAAGACTGGTTATAATTTCAAGTTATAAAATATGTTTAATCACAGTTCTCATGCAGCGTGAGTCATCTCCTGTTTTGCATAAATTTAAAACTGATGTGAAAAGTTACAGTGTAAT